GAAGATCTTCACACCAGCATAAGTTTTCTATCCTGCCGGCCCGCTGCCACCGTGTGCATGCTGATGTGCTGCAGGGCTCTGCTATGTATTTGGGACCAGACCGAGATGTGATGATGGGTCACCAGCACTACAGAATGCAAATAAAAGGTTATTGCAAATAATATCACATGGGTATAAATTGCCAATGTTTTGGGGCCGTGCAGGGTCCCATCCTCAAGGCCACACAGTCACATTTTTGACCTATGTGATGTTATTTGCAATAAACAATATTTGCTTTGTGTTCTGGAGTGACCACATCTCTGAGGTTCTGCATGGCGCCATCTGTGGCGGTCACTAAGAGCATCTATCCTATTTTATCCAAACTTGTTGCAACACTGCATGCTGTGCAGAACGCACTTTCAACAATGGGACCAGGCAGAGACACCCAATAGAAGATCACTACACGTGTGCACAGATGCCACTGGTTCCTAGGACCTTGCAGAGACCATGGCATCTCTGCACATGTGTGGTCATCTCCCATGTGTGCGCAGATGTGCTGACTGTGGCACATTCGCATGCACATAATTTTGCGGCGCACTGCCTTCTGGCATGTGTTGTGGCAATCCCAAGAGACATTGGGGGAGTGCATATGTGATCCTTACCTGGACAAGGAATCAGGAAGTGTTCTAAAACAACACCATAAGCGTGTACTATTATTTCCCAATTCTATAAGAGGTAGAGGGGGTCCACTTTAAGGTAACTATGTATTTGAGAAATATATGGAAGGCATGGTCAAGGGAAAGGAGCCACCCCAAAACAGGATACCAGGACCAGTACTCAGGAGACCAGCTGATACTTGAATATCACTTTACCTGCAGTGAAGATCAGGGACCCAACGACATTCTCCATCATGGTGGTCTGGATTAAAGTTGGCTGGCCAAAATTACATTTTTTTTTAAATCAACAATAGTTTCCATGTACGGTATGTATTTGGACAATGTATTTAGATGTTTGCTCCCCTTCCTGATGACCATTATGGTCTAATATGATCGGTCATCTGTAGTGGAAATCTGTGCCTACCATTGTTAACCACCTTCTGAAAATACTAGTGTCCTAGCTGCAATGCCGATGCAATATTCTGAGTCGGTGACCCAGAACAGGTAAATGGTTCAGTAGTCCTGTCTTCACCTGCTGCATGCTCGAAGCCACGGGATCCGCATAGCAGCCGGCATTTCGGAAAGAGGTTGGCAGTTGCGGCCTACGAATGTCTTGCGTCAGCTTTCTTAGCTCATTATAAGAACTGAACGCCGTATTTCTGATTCCGCCACCTAATGATGTCCTTTGTTCTTCCACAGAAATGGCAGCGGAGGTTCTTCATCCTGTACGAGCACGGCCTGCTGCGATACGCCTTGGACGAAATGGTAAGACGTCCATATTTGCCTCTCTCCCCCTGGTGACCACGGAGCCATCGAGGGTCTTTTTATGTGCCGGTGGCGCCCAGCTTGTGTCGGATAATGTCACATTGCCGAGCGGAGAATTCTATAATTGGAATGTTTGATTTGCAGTCACCCTGTATATTCGTGGTATGCGGAGAATGAGTCGGTAACCTCTCCCGGAGTGGAGGATCAGGTTTTCTGGTGTGTGTGTGAAATGGTGAGCGCTCATTTCCACACGGGTTTTACTACTAAAACAAACGTACTCTGGTGGAATTTCCTTCCAGGCGATATGTTTGTTGGGTTGCTTTCTGTGAAGTTGACAAGTTCACGTGTGTTCTTGGTTGGCTTATTTTAATGTATTTTATTTTCGTACCTCTGGCTTGTGCTGTTGCTCAGTCTATATGGTTCTTGCTGCTTATTGTTATGCAACCACAGCCTCAAGATTCCACGTAATACAATTTTTTCTTTCTTTCTGGGGAAAAATGTTCTGCATGGTGCTTCATATCGGCTTTGGGGGTCACTGCACCCTAAAATGACTTCAGTGCATGGTACATGATTAACAATTAAAGTGGAACTGCACTAAAAAAGACTATTTTGCCAGACCGTAGATAATTTGTAACTGTTTTTTTTATAGTAAAGGTTCTAATGTGCACTAATGGCCGGCCTCAAAGAAGAACTCCAGGCAGAACGTTTCTTAAACCTTGCAGGGGAGCTACTCGGGGCCGTGCCGAGGCCGGGTGTCAGCCAGGAGCGGGGACCTGGTGACACCCCACCATGACGTCACTGCGCACGTGCTGCTATCCACTTGACACCTGCCGTCGGCCATCTTGATGATGGACGCCGGCAGAGAGAGGAGGGGACGTTCACCTGGAGGGGTAAGGTATGCCGCCGGGTCCCCTCCTCTCTCCTGACACTGTCGCGCTCTTGTTCCATGACCGAGTGCCCAAATTTTTTTTTTAGAGGGGGTGACACCAAAATGAGTCATTTTGGTGTCACAGGGGGTTGGCCGCACCCCCCTTGTGACACCACTGGAGCTACTCCCAGCACTGCAAGGGTTAAGTGCTCGTTTCCATCTAGGAACGTATATAAAAAAAAGTTACTCACCTGACCCTTGGAGCCAGCTTGCTTTTCGACCGGTCCCTAGAGCCTCTCTCTCCCCCCCCCCCCCTCCGCTACAGCAGTCTGAGGTCCTGGGAGTCATCATACACAGAGGGGAAAATCATCAAAATCTGGAGCAGTTGTGCATGGCAACCAATCAGCTTCCCTCTTCAGTTTGTTCAGTTAAGATTCGAAAATGAAAGGTGGATGCTGATTGGTTGCCATGCACAGCTGCTCCGGTAGTGAGGACGCCGAGGGACATCCCATCGCTGCAGTGGAGAAGGAGACGGGCTGGAGGGAGCGCGGTCGCAGCCGGCCGGCTCCAAGGATTAGGTGAGTCTAACTTTATTTTTGCACCTAGACAAAAATAAGCACTTAACCTTTGCAGTGCTGGGAGTAGAACGTTTTGCCCGGAGTTCTTCTTTAAAGACCAACTCCAGACACAAGGGAAAAAAAACTACTGTATTTTTCCGTGTATAAGACTATACTTTTTCTTAAAAATATTTACCTAGAAATGGAGGGGCGTCTTATACACGGGGGCCAAGAGGAGAACCTGCGTTTGCGAAACTGCCTATACCTCTGCAGACTAGCCTCACGAGTGAAACTTCCGATTGCAGAGACAAGCTAACAGGTTTTCTCCAATCATGAGCCTTGTGTACCTGACGTCAGCTGATGCTGGGGAGAGCGTGTAGCCAGTGCCCAGATGTAATGGGGAGCCCATAAAAATGTCAGAAAACAAAAAAAATACCGGTACCAGTAAGCGGCTGCAAAATTAAATACTGGATGTAATCAGTTATGCAAAAGAGCATGGAAAATATTGATTTCTGGGTAAGAAAAGTGGGGGGCGTCCTATACATGGGGGCATCTTATAGACGGAAAAATACGGTACACCGGTCGCGCAGATTTTTCCGCCTACATGAACAATCCCATACATTTCTATGGGGGCCGTTCATGCAAGCGTGCGGATCCGCGTGATCAGAAACGCCTGCCGCCCAAAATGCTCCCTGAGCTACTTCTGTCTCGCTGATCAGCAAATTTCATATAGATTTAAATGGAAACGCACTGCTCAGCGCGGTTTTGGGCGCTTTAAATTGCGTTTCACGCAACGTGATTAAAAACGCCCTCTCAGAAACCGTGCTGAACCACTTCTGCCCCGTCCTCACTGCAAGGGTTAAATGTTGGTTAAGTCTAGGGGTAGAGTAATAAGGTGCCTTATTCCTCAGTCCAGCAAGCTCCCTCCATCGGTCCCTTGAAGCTTCCTCTCTAAGGCTCTCTCAGCTGCTCTTGCACACTTACCTACCTACTTAGCTACTAACCTGCTTATAGGTAGGCAACCGACTGTGCTGAAACTGCAAATCAAGTCTCTGCCTCTGGGAATCATGCTTGTGGCTGTCAGTCATGCAATGCCTCATGGGACTTGTAGTTCCACAACAGCTGGCGTGCCAAGGTTGCCCACCGCTGGATTATACTTGCCTTTTTAGATCCAGCGCCCTACTAACACGTCCTTTATCATTCCACATGGAGGAGGCGGCTGTAGGGCCAATGATCTAAAGCCGAGCATTGTCTGCGATGTGTTTCCTCCGCACAGGGAGAGACGTGTTAGAAAATACTTTCGTGGTAACGTTATGCGATGATGATGTACGCGCTTCGTTTTCAGTTATGCCTTAGGACAGCAGACAAAGGCCCAGACTCAGCAGATGCAAATACAGACACGTTCACCGGGTCTGCCTAAAGCTAATGTTTTCAGATACCTGTGTCCCTAAATCGGGGCCCTTCATACACGGAGGGGGGTTTCTTGTACTGTCTGCGGGCCACATAATCGCATCAGACGATGTTGTCGTGTGCAGCAGATGAATGCCGATGCCCAGAATCCACCACCACACAGGACAGCACCCGTACGGCCGAATAGATCCATGAAAACACAGCAGCTGCCTGCGGGCTGACGGGTGCTCTTTAAATCGCGGCCAACTGTAGAGACTCGCATCCAGGATATGAGGGGTTAATACACTAAAACAAGCTGGTTTTGTCTGTGGAGGAGAATGGAAGTAGCGTGTCTGTACAGAATGCAAATTCCTCTGCCCTGATTTCTACCTGAGGGACTGCATCTGACAGCCCGGAGAATAGATCTCGTCATACAGAACATGATTTACAATGTGATAGTGCAGTGATGCTGGGTTTGCTTTCTACTTGCTAAACTTAAAGGCGGGCGACTAGAAATGGTCACCCCTCACAGGCTGGCGCTTAGAAGGGGGTCACCCCTCACAGGCTGGCGCTTAGAAGGGGGTCACCCCTCACAGGCTGGCGCTTAGAAGGGGGTCACCCCTCACAGGCTGGCGCTTAGAAGGGGGTCACCCCTCACAGGCTGGCGCTTAGAAGGGGGTCACCCCTCACAGGCTGGCGCTTAGAAGGGGGTCACCCCTCACAGGCAACCCCCTCACAGGCGGGCGCTTAGAAGGGGTCACCCCCTCACAGGCGGGCGCTTAGAAGGGGTCACCCCCTCACAGGCGGGCGCTTAGAAGGGGTCACCCCCTCACAGGCGGGCGCTTAGAAGGGGTCACCCCCTCACAGGCGGGCGCTTAGAAGGGGTCACCCCCTCACAGGCGGGCGCTTAGAAGGGGTCACCCCCTCACAGGCGGGCGCTTAGAAGGGGTCACCCCCTCACAGGCGGGCGCTTAGAAGGGGTCACCCCCTCACAGGCGGGCGCTTAGAAGGGGTCACCCCCTCACAGGCGGGCGCTTAGAAGGGGTCACCCCCTCACAGGCGGGCGCTTAGAAGGGGTCACCCCCTCACAGGCGGGCGCTTAGAAGGGGTCACCCCCTCACAGGCGGGCGCTTAGAAGGGGTCACCCCCTCACAGGCGGGCGCTTAGAAGGGGTCACCCCCTCACAGGCGGGCGCTTAGAAGGGGTCACCCCCTCACAGGCGGGCGCTTAGAAGGGGTCACCCCCTCACAGGCGGGCGCTTAGAAGGGGTCACCCCCTCACAGGCGGGCGCTTAGAAGGGGTCACCCCCTCACAGGCGGGCGCTTAGAAGGGGTCACCCCCTCACAGGCGGGCGCTTAGAAGGGGTCACCCCCTCACAGGCGGGCGCTTAGAAGGGGTCACCCCCTCACAGGCGGGCGCTTAGAAGGGGTCACCCCCTCACAGGCGGGCGCTTAGAAGGGGTCACCCCCTCACAGGCGGGCGCTTAGAAGGGGTCACCCCCTCACAGGCGGGCGCTTAGAAGGGGTCACCCCCTCACAGGCGGGCGCTTAGAAGGGGTCACCCCCTCACAGGCGGGCGCTTAGAAGGGGTCACCCCCTCACAGGCGGGCGCTTAGAAGGGGTCACCCCCTCACAGGCGGGCGCTTAGAAGGGGTCACCCCCTCACAGGCGGGCGCTTAGAAGGGGTCACCCCCTCACAGGCGGGCGCTTAGAAGGGGTCACCCCCTCACAGGCGGGCGCTTAGAAGGGGTCACCCCCTCACAGGCGGGCGCTTAGAAGGGGTCACCCCCTCACAGGCGGGCGCTTAGAAGGGGTCACCCCCTCACAGGCGGGCGCTTAGAAGGGGTCACCCCCTCACAGGCGGGCGCTTAGAAGGGGTCACCCCCTCACAGGCGGGCGCTTAGAAGGGGTCACCCCCTCACAGGCGGGCGCTTAGAAGGGGTCACCCCCTCACAGGCGGGCGCTTAGAAGGGGTCACCCCCTCACAGGCGGGCGCTTAGAAGGGGTCACCCCCTCACAGGCGGGCGCTTAGAAGGGGTCACCCCCTCACAGGCGGGCGCTTAGAAGGGGTCACCCCCTCACAGGCGGGCGCTTAGAAGGGGTCACCCCCTCACAGGCGGGCGCTTAGAAGGGGTCACCCCCTCACAGGCGGGCGCTTAGAAGGGGTCACCCCCTCACAGGCGGGCG